GAGGAAGTGGTATCTAAATGAAGGTCTGAAGTGGGGTTGGGAGCTAAACAGGACAAATAGGAGGGTGGGAAGCAGGCAGAGAGCAGCCTTCCAGGCAGATGGAGCTCACAGAGGCTCCGGATGTCTCTGGATCAAGTGTAAGAGCAGGGTGAGGAGGGATGGGGCGGGAGAGGTGAGCTGCTCATCTCCAGGGCTTTGTAAGCGTTGCTAAAGCATTTGGACTTTAGCCCAAGGGCAAAGGAGAGCCTGAATAAGTTTAGGCAGAACAGTAACATGATGACTTTGTACTTTATAAAAATCCCTCTGGCTGTCATCTAGTCAAGAGATGCATGGGGCAGGCTCAGAGCTGGGGACGTGGCAGGAGGCTGACGCCGGATGCAGGTGAGGGGTGGCGTGGTTCAGAGGAAGAGGATGAGGACAGTGGAGAATCAGTGGAGAATCAGTGGAGGATGATTCTGTGTGACTTAGAGAGGGTGGAAACCAAGAATGATGCTTGGGTTCAGTCTTGGGTGGCCCAAAGTCCATACGGGCGTCAATTGACATAGGAACACAGGAGGGGAAATGGCTTGAGTTGGAAGAGAAGATGTAAATTCCTTTTTGGTGAGACATGGAAGTAGATGCTGAGGCTGTCTCAGTAAAAGAGATCTGGGTGGAAGATAGTTATTTGAAAACTGTCAGGATGGTGGTGGATGGCAAATGTGAGCTCTGTGAAAACGGGGCTCTTGGTTAATGTCTGGTGTCTCCAGAGCTTACACAGCACACACACAATCAACACTTGCTGAATAAAAGATTAAATGAACCCGAAGTGGTGGATGAGATCGTGTAGATAGTATGTAGTGTACATGGAGGAAAGTCTATGGGTAGGCAATATTTAAGAAATGGAGAGAGCTATTATTAAAACAAGGATTTTTAAAAGTCCATTGATTTTGGTGATGAGGTCAATGCAATAACCTTAGAGAGAGTGATTTCAATGGGTTGAATGGCAGTGAGGAAAATAAAGGAGAGGAGAAGAATTAACCTGCAGCTGAAGAGTTTTAGGGGGTATAGATAGGGCTTTTTAATCTGGGAGAGAATTAAATACATTGAATTTGCATTTTCAAAATTACAAATTTAAATAAGCAGAACTGTAACTGAGGCAGACAAATTCTAAGGCGGTCCCAGTAACCCTTCCCTTTGAGTGTGGGTAGCACTTGTGATTTGCTTCTAACCAGTAGCCTATTGCAAAGGTGATGGGATGGTACTTCCATAACTATGTTGTTATATAAGTCTTCATCCTGCTAGCCAACTTGCTATAGGGATTGCTCCCCAGCTGGTTTCAAAGAAGTAAACGTCCATGTTATGAGGCTCCCTTGGCAAGGAGCTTAGCATAGCCTCTAGGGGCTGAAGGTAATATGCTCAGAGAGAAGTTATGGCCCTCCCAGTCCCCCAGGTTTTCAAGGAAATGAATTCTGCCATCAACCTGAGTGAGCTTGGAAGTGGATTCTTCACCAGTTGAGTCTCCAGATAAGGTACAGCCCAGCCACCATCTTTTTTTTTTTTTTTTCTGAGACGGAGTCTCGCTCTGTCGCCCAGGCTGGAGTGCAGTGGCCGGATCTCAGCTCACTGCAAGCTCCGCCTCCCGGGTTTCGCCATTCTCCTGCCTCAGCCTCCCGAGTAGCTGGGACTACAGGCGCCCGCCACGTCGCCTCCCGGGTTTACGCCATTCTCCTGCCTCAGCCTCCCGAGTAGCTGGGACTACAGGTGCCCGCCACGTCGCCTGGCTAGTTTTTTGTATTTTTTTTAGTAGAGACAGGGTTTCAACATGTTAGCCTGGATGGTCTCGATCTCCTGACCTCGTGATCCGCCCATCTCGGCCTCTCAAAGTGCTGGGATTACAGGCTTGAGCCACCGCGCCCGGCCCCAGCCACCATCTTGAGTGCAACTTTGTGAAGCCCTAACCAGAGGACCTGACCAAGATGCACCTGGATCTGACCACAGACACTGTGAGGTAATATATATGTGTGTGGCTTTAAGTCATTAAGTGTGTGGTCATTTATTGTGCAGAAATAGATAGCTAATATAGTAACTTTTCAACTTATTTTTTTCCACTTAAAAAAAAATGGAGGCAATAACATACAGTAAAGTGCATAGGTGTGTCCAATTTGGTTAATTTTTATCTATGTATACATTCATGCAGCCATAACTCAGATCAAGATATGGAGATCTGCACTGCCCCAGGAGATGACCTCACACTCCCCTCCCCTGCTGCTCCCAAGGGTCAACAACTGTGCTGACTTCTACTACCATTAGTTTATCTAAACCATTCTTGAAATTCCTATCAGTGGAATAATGCAGGATGTGCCCTTTTATATCTGTCTTCTTTCACATCAACATTTATCCATGTGTTAGATGCATCGGTAGTTTGTTCTTTTTATTTATTTCTTTTTAATGAATATAGAACAGTTTATTTACCTCTATGGTTGATAGACATTTGAGCTATTTCAAGTTTTTGCCTATGATGAATAAAGCTGTCATCAAAATCTCCTGTACATGTCTTATAATGAAAAATGTCTCATTTCTGTTGGGTCTATATCCAATAAAATTGTTGGGAATAAAATTGTTGGGTTATACTGAATGTGTATGTTTGGCTTTAGTAGATATTGCCAAACATTTTTTCCCAAAGTGGTTGTATCAATTTTTACTCCCACCAGCAATGTATAAGAAGATTAGCTTCCCAAGCTACTCAACACTTCTATAGTCAGTCTTTTAAATTTTAGCCATTCTGGTGTATTGTGATATCTCATTGTAGTTTTAATTTGTATTTCTCTAAGGGCTGATGATGTTGAGCACATTTATTGGCCATTTCTTATTTTATTTAATTTATTTATTTTTGAGATGTTGTCTCGCTCTGTCACCCAGGCTGGAGTGCAGTGGCTCGATCTCGGCTCACTGCAAGCTCCGCCTCCCGGGTTCACGCCATTCTCCTGCCTCAGCCTCCCGAGTAGCTGGGACTACAGGTGCCTGCCACCATGCCTGGCTAATTTTTTGTATTTTTAGTGGAGATGGCGTTTCACTGTGTTAGCCAGGATGGTCTCGATCTCCTGACCTTGTGATCCGCCCATCTTGGCCTCCCAAAGTGCTGGGATTACAGGCGTGAGCCACCACGCCCGGCCATTTATTGGCCATTTCTATATCCTGTTTTGTGAAATGTCAGCTCAAGTTCTTTGCCCATTTTAAATTGAGCTCTCCATCTTTTATGTATTTATTATTTAATTTTATTTATTTATTTTTTTTGAGACAGAGGCTCACTCTGTTGCCCGGGCTGGAGCACAGTTGCACAATCTCAACTCTCTATAGCCTCTGTCCCCCTAGGTTCAAGTGATTCTCTTGCCTCAGCCTCCCAAGTAGCTGGGATTACAGGTGCACGCCACCACACTCAGTTAATTTTTGTATTTTTAATAGAGACGAGGTTTCACCATGTTGGCTAGGCTGGTCTTGAACTCCTGACCTCAGGTGATCCAGCCACCTTGGCCTCCCAAAGTGCTGGGATTACAGGCATGAGCCACTGTGTCTGGCCTACTTATTATTTTTAGGAGTTATTTATATGTTCTGCACATGAGACCTATGTCAGATATGATGTATTTCAGAATTTTCTCCCAGTATATGTTTTGCATTTTCACACTTATAATGTGATTTTTGATAAACAGACTCTTAATTTTTAATAAACTCCAATTTCTTTTATGGTTTTTATGTCTTTTATGATTAGTGTTTTTTGCATTTCTGGTTTAGTAAATCTTTCCTTATCCCCAAATAATATTTTCCTATGTTTTCTCTTAGAAGCTTGCTTTGTTATACAACTTAGGTCTGTGACTCAGCCTGAATTAATTTTTATGTGAGGTAGGAATTAAGGTCCATTTTTTTCTATGCCAATTTCTAATTGCTTCAGCACTACTGATTAAAAAGAATGTCATTTATCCACTTAATTATGAGTGCCTTTGTCATAGATAAAAGGACTGTATGTGAGGGTCTGTTTCTGAGCTATTTTATTCCATTGGTCTTTTGTCTATTTTTGTGCTAAAACTATGCTGCCTAATTATTCTTATGTGGTAAATCTTGAAATCAGATTGTTTAAATCCTTCAGCTTTAAGGTTTCTTGTATTTTTTAAGATCCTCTGAATTTCCATATGAATTTTAGAATTAAATTGTCAGTTTCCCCCAAAAGAAACTGCTAAAATTTTGAAGAATCATATTGAATTTATAGATAAATTTTGGAGATCAATGCCATTTTAACAAACTTGAGCGTCTCAGTTCATGAACATGGGATATAGTTTCATTGACTTAGATCTTTGCTAATTTCTCTTAGTAACGTTTTGTAGTTCTCAGCGTTCTTTCTCACAGAAATTATATCTCTACCTCCCGTTTACTCCCAGTAGTGGTAGAAAACTTAATTTTGCCAATTCAGGATAACTCAGTCACTTCCAATGACTTCCAGTCCATAAGCCCTCAGTCCTCATCTGTCCTTGCTGGCCTCTGCTGAGGTGTAGTTTGTCCTTGCTGGTCTCTCAGTGGTGGCCACTGTCCCCGCTCTTATCTGCTGCTCATATTTGTTATAAAGTTATAGTTTCACATAATCCACATTGCACATCTGGCCACTGGCCAGCTCAGGAAACACATGGAGCTTTGTCGTGCTTGGACTCATATACTACGTGGGAATGCAGGACCATTGTGTCACCAGGCACAGTCCCCGGCCATCTTCATGTGCGGCTCCATGCTGTCTGGACATGGGACATCTCTAGGGACCTTGTAGTCTTTAATTCCTCTTAATGGACCTGTGGCTTTTGGCCTACACAATTCCTGAGGGATTTGGTCAGCAGAGGAGAGAGGGCAGCAACCCCAGCTTGGGGCTAACCTCTCTCTTTTTCTCCCTGTCTCTCCCACAACTCCTCCCCTCGGTTCTGAAATGTCTCTAGTCTCCTTGATATAGCAAGAAAACTGGCCCTAAATCTTCAAGTACTTTCAACATTCTAGTTTCCAAATGGGAAACCTGAGGTCCATGGATGTGGCAACAGATGACAAAGGACGGAGCTGATCTTGGGGCCAGGAGACCTGCGGTCAGGCCACTGCCCTGCTGTGAGGCCTTGGTCTGGTAGCTGCACCTCTGTGGAATGCCTGAGTCAGACTCTTCCATTCTGGAGGTTTCCGGGCTCTCTGAACTTAATGACCTCCCCGAGGCCTGAGGGTCGGGGGCAGGCCTCGAACCTGAGTCTCCAATGAGGCCAGGATTTCCCCAGTGAGCAGAGAAATGCTTAGATGCACAAGGCGGGTGTCCCTGGAAGGGTGATGGGGCTTGGGGAGCTGAAGGACGCACACCCCTGACATCAGCCTGGTGTCTTTTAGAAGGAAACCACTGGGAAAGTGTGGGAGAGACGTCCCTAGGCATGCTTCACTCAGACGCCGGAGTGTGTGTGGACGTGGTGAGGGAGGGCAGCTGGGATGGGGCTGGCCCCTGATGAACAACGTGGGGGTGGGGAGAGGCTGCGCCCAGAGGGAAAAGGCTGGACTCCACCCGCAGGTGCCACATCTGCTACTCAGACGACTCCTTGGGCATATATGCCACATTGTCATAGGCAGGGGGTGGAGAGGCTGCCGGGCTGGGGATGTTGAAGTCTGCGCTGAAGGCGTTTGGCAGGAAGATCACGGGCTGCAAAGAAAACAGCACTGAGCGTCCTGGAGGACGCTGGAGCTTCAGGGTAGTGTCGCAATAGTGCCCCCTTGTGGGTAATCTGAGAACAGCGCCCCTGGTACTGAATTCCGCAAATATTTCCAACAACATTTACTGGGGCCAACTATGATCCAGGCATTGGGAGTACAGCAGTGAACAAAACAGACAAAAGTCCCATTTCTCCAGGCACTAACGTTCTGCTGTTCTTTTTTTTCTTTCTTTTGAGATGAGTTTCCCTCTTGTTGCCCAGGCTGGAGTGCAATGGCGCGATAGCGGCTCACCGCAACCTCCGCCTCCTGGGTTAAAGCTATTCTCCTGCCTCGGCCTCCCGAGTAGCTAGGATTACAGGTGCCCACCACCACGCCCAGGTAATTTTTTGTATTTTTAGTAGAGACGGGGTTTCACCATGTTGGCCAGGCTGGTCTTGAACCCCTGACCTCAGATGATCCACTCACCTCAGCCTCCCAAAGTGCTGGGATTACAGACATGAGCCACCGCGCCAGGCTCTGCCGTTCTTTCTCTCCCTACTGCCCTGGCCTGGTTCAGAACTTCGCTCTCTCTTGCCTGCACCATGGCACCAGCCTCCTTGCAGCTTCCTGGCCTCCAGCCCCTGCTTGTCCACCCTCTCCACCCCCCGGCACTGGACAAAGCCTCTTGATTGATTCCCCTGAACCAGCTCACTCCCCTGCTCAGACCTTCGATCCCCTCACCCTCAGTGCACCCCATCATGTACCTGCAAAGAGCACCCCACCCTGTGGCCTGCATTCGCCTGCCCGAGGCAGCCTTTGCTCCAACTGGTTTCCCTGCCTTGAACACTCACTCCAGCCCCTTTCTGTCATCACTGTCCTCCGTTCTTTTTGGAAATCAAAGCTTAATTTCCATCTCCATCATGCTGCCCTCCCTGATGCCCCTGTCTCCCATGTGGCCTGGGAACCCCAAAAAGTCCCACTCCTCTGGGTGCAGCACGGCCGCCATGCCCCCAGCCCAGGATTTCCGTTCTGCAAGGCTCCCTGCAGGGCTGCACAGAGTAGTGGCCCTGTGGGTGCTGGTGCCACCCAGTTCCACTGGGAGAACAGTCTTGTCTTCACTGACCTGTGAAGACGTCTTTAGTTTTGTTTTGGTTTTAGAGACAGCCTCGCTCTCTCACCCAGGCTGAAGGGCAGTGGTGTGATCATAGCTCACTGCAGCCTCAACTTCCTGGGCTCAAGCGATCCTTCTGTCTCAGCCTCCCAACTAGCTAGGAGTACAGGTGCATACCACCACATCTGGCTAATTAAAAATACTTTTTTCTTTTTTTTTGTAGCGATAGGATCTTTTTATGTTGCCCAGGCTTGTCTCAAACTCCAGGGCTCAAGGGATCCTCACATCTCATTTTTCAAGGTGCTGGGGTTATGGGCATGAGTCACCATGCCCAGCCCAAATACTTCTTTGGGCCGCCTGACATGGATAGGACACCCTTGCTAGTGCTGTCTCTTCATATTGCTTCCCAGAGTGCAGAGGGAGGGGGCTGGAGACAGAGTGCGCTCCCAGCCAACTGCGTTCCACAGAGGCTCAGGTTTAGTGGACATGGGGGTGGGGGTACTCACCGCGTTGACCTGGGCGCAGGTGGCTTGGCACCCGAAGTGAGTGGAAATGACTGTGATGAAGAACTCCAGGATGGTGAAGATAGTAAGCACAGCCAGATAGCCCCTGTCCACATCCTGGGGACCAAAACCCACAGAAAGGTGAGTCCAGAGTTCTAGAGTGAGGGGGTCCCCCAAGTGAGAACCACTTGCCCAAGGTCACACAGTTAGTTGGGGGCAGAGCTGTGCCTAGAGCCAGTACCCCTGCTGCCAGTCCTGCACCCTCCCCTTCACCCTGCAGGCTGCCTCCTTGCTCCTTCTGATGCCCATCTTGGGGAAGGCTGAGAGGATCCATGGATTTGTGGGGTCTATAGGGACTGGCAGGCCCTGCCAACGTCCTGGCACTGCAAATTCTTACCCCCCTGCCCTCCTGGACATGGCTGCATCATTTTCCAAGTTTTCCCATCCCGGGGACCATCTGACAACGCACCCAGTTAGTAACACCAAAATCCATGAGCAGAATGGCTGTCCCAGCAAAGGCCGCCATAGCGCTGAGGATGTTGGCGCCCAGGCTGCTCCTCACCTGCAGAGAGCAGAGAGACAGGAGCAGAGGGAAGAGGCAAAGAGAAGGAGAAAAGGCAGGGGCCGTGGCTCAGCTGCCCAGCCCCCAGCACGCCACCTCCCACAGCCAAGGAGGCACTGGCTGCACCTCCCTGCACGCAGCTGTGTTCTCATTGACGGCTCTCCTTTTCTGTTCTCCTCCCCTGGGACCTCAGGAGGAGGTCTTGTCTCTCTTTCCTTCTTTAGGAAGCTGCTAGGGAGAAGGGCAGCACCTCCTTTACAACCTCTCTGGGTGGAGTTTGCAGCCTTCGGCCTATCCTGGACTGTGGCTCCCTCTCCCCCAGGCCCAGCGCCTCGCAGGAGCAGCTGCAGCTGAGGCCTGTTCAGGGGCATGGGTTGGGAGAGGCCCTTTGCTGTGGACGCTGAGGCCTGGTTGGGAGAGAGGCTGAGTTCATTTCCGTGAGGTCCCAGGAAGTGGCTGGTGGAGTGAGGCACATACTGCAGACACTGGTGGGGCACCAGGCAGGGGAGACAGGAGAGGCAGGAGCTGAAGGTCTGAAGTCTGGGTGGGCTGAGAGGCCTGGGACTCCAGGGTCTGAAGAGCGTGCAGGAAAAGTGACTCCCGGGGTGGTCCAGGCAGTCACCCAGGCATCTCCATGCAGCCAGAACCCGACGGTCTCGTGACCCAGAGCTGGAGCCTTCTGGTTAAACTGCCCCAGGATTAAAGGGGGAAACACTCATGGGTGAACTGTGGACTCCAGGACCTCTTCAGGTTTAAAGACTCCTGATTCTTCTTTATAAATGGCAATCAGGAGGTCATTGAGATCAGAACAGCCTCACATGGAATCCATTCATTGATTAATTAAGCCAAAAGCTTTTATTGAGCACCTACTGCATGCCAGGCACTATGCAAAGTGCTGTGAGTCCAGGAGAGAGTAAGTCAGGTCTTGTCCTCCTGAAGCTCATGGCCTGGGGGACCCTGAGTTTGGTCCGGAGAGTCCTCTCTTATAGTCCCGCCCCTCCACAATCCATTCTCTGCCCTGCACCTGGGATACCTCAAGTAAGGAAACAGGGCAAGGAATCACCTGCTGAAGCCTCCGTGGTCTCTCATTGTCCTTAAAATAAATCCTGAACTTGGCATCTAGGCTCTGAGTCACCTCCCCAGCCTCTCCCTCTCGGCCCACCCCTTGCCTGTGATGGTCCGGCACTCCCGTCCCCCGTCCAGAGCCCATGGCGTTTTCCAGCTGGGCTCTTCTGTGGTTGTCCTCCTCTGAACTGTTCCGTGACCCCTGCTCAGGGACCCCAGACTGTCCCAGCTGAGCTTAGAATTATCCTGCCTGCTTCCTTTCAGCACTTTTCATGCTTGGCAACTGCCTTCTTTGTGAGTGTGCTTTATGGGCGTCTTACCAGGCACCAAAAGGTAAGTGCCACGACCTTCGCTGAGGTGTTCATGATCTTCACTGCTGTGTTCTCTGAGCCTGACATAAAGCTCATGCCCTCCTGTTCAAAGCCTCCGTCAGCTCCCAGCGCCTGCAGGAGGCACCAAGCCTTCCACGATCCAGCCCCATCATGGGATTAAATCTCTCCATCTAATTTCTTTCCACTTTCCTTCCCCTACCTTTGCTTTCATTGGACGGAGCCATGCGTGTTTTCAGCGGCGACCCTGCCCACGCCCCTCCGTGCATTCTCCAGCTTTCCCTGTGGCATTTCTCAGTCCTCTCTGCTCACCAAGGCCCAGCAGGACTCTTACAGGAGATCTTCTAGCATCTTTCCTTTCTCGGAATGACCACGAGCATGTGATCCATGGACCTCACTTTCCACTCTGGCTTGTGTATTGAGAATATCCCTGTCTTCTTCTCCTGTACATGACTGGTCTGTGTCTGGTCTGCCTGGGTGGTGCTCCTCCCTTGGCCTTTAGCAGGTTCCCCGGAAGTGCTGGGGAATGAGCTGAAGGAGTGAGTGGATGGGAGGGGCAGGGTAGAGTGAGATTTAGCCGTGGCCTCATCCCCGCCCCTGGGTCCCCCTGTTCAGACTCACCAGGCAGCTGGCGTGGTTCTTCTCGGCTGCCACTGAGAGGGATCCGGAGATGATGAACTGTGTGGGGAGAGGGGACCCAGTGAGGCCTCATCCAGGACCCCGGGCAGGGCACACCCTGCTTGGGATCTGTCGGGAGGTGCCAGGGAGAGAGAACAGCCTCCTGATGCCACTTTCTCTGCCAGGCAGGCACCTTGGGGTCTCTCGGTAGGGGTATCCCCTGTCCAGGGAACTAGGGCTGTGGCTTACAAGGTGAGTGTTTTCATGGACGCCATATCATCAGGGCCTTGTGGGGAAGGCATTGTTCCTTCAAACATTCACTCATCAAACATTTACTGAGTGAGGCTGAATGTGGTGGCTCACGCCTGTAATCCCAGCAGTTTGGGAGGCCGAGGCGGGAGGATCACTTGAAGTCAGCAGTTTGAGAACAACCTGGCCAACATGATGAAACTCCAGTCTCTACTAAAAATACAAAAATGAGCTGGGTGTAGTGGCGCGCACCTGTAATCCCAGCTACTCAGGAGGCTGAGGAGCAAGAATCACTTAAACCTGGGAGGCAGAGGTTGCAGTGAGCCGAGATCGCGCCACTGCACTCCCGCCTGGGGGCAGAGTGAGACTCTGTCTCAAAACAAAAAACAAAAAAAACAAACCTTTTCTGAGTGGCAGTTATGTGCCAGGAACATAACAGAGTTGAATAAGGCAGACCAGATCTCTGCCCTTATGGAGCTTACATTCTAACTGGGGAAGACTGACACTTAGCAAACAGTGAAGAAAGTACAGACAGTGGTGTTAAGAGCTGTGATGAAGTCATAGCAGTCACTAGGGCTACTCGAGGTTGGATCAGGGTCGTCTCTGTGAACTGGGATGACAACAGCCGGGCACGAAGCTGCCCATAAGGATAGCCCAGGAACCTGCATCATGGCACCTATGTACTTGGCAGTCGCCTGACACACTGAGGTGGGGCTGGCCCTGCATCTGCTGAGCTGAGAGGGTGGAGCTGAGCAGTGCCGCCTCACTCTGGGCCTGCAACTTAGCAGGTCTGCAATTTGCAGGTGGCACTCGGCTGCCATGCTGGGGAGACCACAGGGTCAGCGGGGGGTGGAGGAGGCCCTGCGGGGACATGGAGACAGAGGACCAGAAGGGAGTCACTACAGGTCTCCAGTAGGTGTAGACCCGCATGGGTGGGAAGAAGGGGACACACTCAGGCTACGCTCTGGGGGGTGAGCCAGCGGAACCTGCTGCTGGGGTGGATGTGCAGCAGGGAAAGAAAAGACTCTAGGATGACTCTTAGGATTTGCTTTGGCAGTTGGATGGCTGGAGGTGCCATTTGCTGAGATGAGGAGATGATAGGAGTAATAGTTTTGCTTTTGTTCCTTCCCCCATTTTTGAAGCTTTACTGGGCATATTTGTGATAAAGTTCGGTGGAATGGGGCTCAGAGGGGAAAGTGACCCGTTTGTTTCTTCCTGTTGTGATTTCTCCCCGTGGACTCTCGCGATTTGCAAAATTTTCCTCCACCTTCAGGTCACTATGGACCTTTCAAAGGGCCAGAGCTTGTCCCCAAGCATGGCCAGGTGACCATCCTGATCTGGTTGTGATGTATCAGCCACTTTGTCCTCCCTGAACCCCATTCTGGTGGATTCTGTGCTCTTGCTGGAGGCAGCCTGGGCAGGGGAAGAAAGTCGCTGTGCCTTGGTTCTGGAACCAACACTCACGCAATGGAGACCTCCTTTATGCAAATCTCTGGCTTTCTCTCCAAAAAGGGGATCACTCAACAGTCTCCATTTGGTACAGAAGTTTAGGGTTAGTAATCCACTCACCATGCTCATTATTGATGAGCATGATGTCCTCTGCAAATCTATGGGGTAGGCAGGGCCAGATCTATGAGCCCAAGTTTTAGATGAGGAAGTTGAATCTTGAGATTCAGCAACATGCCCGAGGGACTCCACCTTAACGTGCGGTGGAGCTGAGACTCAGACCCCGCTGGCCTGACCCTGAGGCCTGTCCTTCCTTGGGGTGGCTGGAGGCTCTGGTGATATATTGATGGGGGTGCAAACACCAGGGTTCACTGCAAACACTCAAGTGCCCTTTAATGTTGGCAGTGACAAGGACTCACCTGCCTGTTGTCCGGCAGGGGTGAGTGGCCAGTTTGGCCAGACGGAGGTCAAAGGAATGGGCTCAGGGGTTTCAGTGCTGGTTGGACTCCCAGGGGATGGCGGGGCTCATGGAGGGCTGGGACCCAGCTCAGGGAGCTAGAGGGTTTCTGCAGGAGGGGTTTGGATGTGGGGTGAGGCTTAGGATCTGGGTAGTATGGGTGGTTTGGACCCAGCCCTGATGACCTCCATCCTTTTTTTCTTTTCTTTTCGAGATGGAGTCTTGCTCTGTTGCTCAGGCTGGAGTGCAATGGCAAGATCTCAGTTCACTGCAACCTCCCCCTCCTGGGTTAAAGTGATTCTCCTGCCTCAGCCTCCCAAGTAGCTGGGATTACAGGCGTGCACCACCATGCCCGGCTAATTTTTGTATTTTTAGTAGAGACGGGGTTTCACCATGTTGGTCAGGCTGGTCTCCAACTCCTGACCTCAAGTGACCTGGCGGGCCTCCCAAAGTGCTGGGATTACAGTCATGAGCCACCGGGCCCCGGCCTTTCCGGTCCTTTTTGGCAGCTTCTCTGGCTGTTTGCTGGGAGCTTTTCATCCGCAGGAGTGGGGTCAGGCTCAGGTTTATGGTGAGGGTTTGGGGGAAGGAGTTAGATTTAGACTAATTCTTCTAGGAAGTGCTTCCAGGCCCCTACCTAGGAGAGGCTGTGCCCAGGAGGATGGTGGGGCTGGGCCCATGGGGGAGACGTGAGCCTGGGCAGCATCCCCCCTACCCTCCCTCTCCATGGCCCCAGCACTCACGCAGGCTCCTCCCCAGAAGGGGACACCGCCCTCGATGAAGAACATGCCCACGTGCCCGCGGCGAACCATGAGCAGCACGCTGCCAAAGCCCAGGTAGATGAGGCCGACCAGGATCTGCACCGTCTGCGGGAAGCCCCGAGGCTCAGTGCTGCTGGCCCTGTTCCACACCGCCCCCTGCCGGCCCCGCCCTCCTCTAGCTTGTTGGCGACTGGGAAAGAAACTCAGATCCTGTTCTTTAGAGGCGACATTATTACAGCAACCAATAAAGACACTTTTAAGGAGAAAGCTAGTTCCCCGCAGCCTACCGTACCCACAAAGCCCAGCTCTCAGCCGGCCTGCCTCCTGCTTTCTGCTCTGATCCGTGGATCTCAAGCATCGCGGTGTCGCTATACCTGACTTTCTTAGGACCCCATTCAATGAGCCAACGTTCCCCGCACCGCATGCCTCACCTTGCCCATCCTCATTCCCGAGCACCCCCTCAGCCTGCAGCGAGCACCTTCTCCTAACAGCATCTTTCTATTTCGGTGTCCACCACTGATCGCCCCAGCCCTGCCTCTCAGCCTGCTGAAATCTCCACTGGGATTTTTTGTTTTTTTTCCTCTAAGAGTTGGTTTACCAGCACCCTACTAGTCTATGCTCAGAAGTGGGATGGTCTTCCCAAGTGTGAGCTTCTAGTAAGGTCTGCCACATAGCAGAAAGATTGCAATGCTTTGAGTAACTATTGAATTCTGGAACTGAGTGGAAAGAGATGTTGAAGACCATTGGAATCCAGCTCCAGGGCTTCCACGGGGACTCCGGTGACCAGTACTCACCACTACTCAAACCAGCATGGTCCTTTTATGGGCAGTTCTGACTGGGAAGAACTAGAATTGTTATCTCAGCGTCACGTGGAATACATAATTCTTTCTAACATGAGTGCTAAGAATTTGGATATCTGTGGGCATGAGCCCCTGATGCTTCAGTTTCTTTTTCTCTTCAGTGACCTGTCTTTCATCTTTTCCGTGTCCTCACAGGGCACAGCATGGCATGGCATCCAAGGCGCCAGCGTGGCTCCCCTTCCTGGTAGACCTTTCCCCTGCGGGTAGCCCACCACAGTCACTGCCATTACGCCTTGGGAAACACCCGCTGCTGCTTATTGAATGCCTGTCTATGCTAAGCACTGTGCTGGGGGTTTTACAGATGTGGTCTCACTTAATCCTAACGAGAAGAGGTAGGTTATTACTATTATTATTGTTATTTTTGAGGAGTTTCGCTCTTGTTGCCCAGGCTGGAGTGCAATGGCGCGATCTCAGCTCACCGCAACCTCTGCCTCCCAGGTTCAAGTGATTCGCCACCCTCTTGAGTAGTGGGGATGACAGGCGCCTGCCACTGCTCCTGGCTAATTTTTGTATTTTTAGTAGAAACGGGATGTCGCCATGTTGGCCAGGCTGGTCTCGAACTCCTGACCTCAGGTGATTCACCCACTTCGGCCTCCCAAAGTGCTGGGATTACAGGCGTGAGCCACTGCACCCGGCCAGAGGTAGGTTATTATTATCCTAATTTTGGAGACGAGGAAACTGAGGCTCAGAGATGTTCAGTAACTTGCCCGAAGCATCCCAGCTACGAGGCGGCAGGCCAGCTAAGTCTGCAGTAGTATTCTCAGTGTGTGGCATTCCATAACTCCTATTTCTGTTTTCCACTTTTTTGTGCTTTTCAGCAGTTTGTTTGTCTCATCAATTTTTTTTTTTGGGGGCGGGGGGAGAGCACTGGTCCCCAGGGTCTGCTTTGGTTTCGAAATTCCAGCAATTGTTGACCTCCTCTTTGTCCACTGTCTCCATGGGCCACAAGTCAGGGGCTGTGCGGTCCTTGGTGTCTGTGCCCCCAGTCCAGTACCACCCCTCCACCGCACCAATGGATGTGGTGCAGCTATTAGGGTAGAATTCCAGCATGTTTGAGCCAGAGGTCCTGGATGCCACAAAGCAGAGGCGTTGAAAGTAGAACTTTAGGGTCAGCTATCCTTAGTTTGCAGGATGCTGTTTATCAGCTATGTGGCCTTGGGCAAATGACTTAGTCTTAAGAAACCTCAGTTTCCTAGTCTGTCCAATAGGACCAATGATCCTCTTCTTACAAGGTGGTGCTGAGAATCTAGCGAGACGATGCATGCAAAGTCCCCGGCACAGTACGTGCACCTCTGAGAGATGCTTCATAAGCAAGAGCTGTTGTCATCTTCACCTTCATCATCATCACCATTGCTTAATCTATGCTTTCATCTTCCACCTGGAGAAACTGAGGCCAAAGAACAGACTGAAGAATCTACATATGTGTGTGTATAATTAAAATAGCAGGAGGCCATTAGCCTGTCTCCATAATTTGAGTTCCTACGTAACGAACTGCAACCCAACCAGATGCACTGAAACCTAACTTAGGAGTATATTTTTGTAACAAATAGCTGGGTTTCAGCTAATGACAAACAGCTTCAGCCAACTGATCAGACCGTGCCCAAATAAGGCAAACGCCTCATGACATCATGTCCAAATAAGGCAGACACCTAGCTGTAGCCGATGGGGAGATTTCTCTACTTCACTTCTGTGTTTGGCCTATAAGAGCTTATTGCTCACACAGCTGGATGGAACTCTCTGAACCTCTTCTGGTTTTGAGTGCTGCCAGATTCCTGAATTATTCTTAGTTCACATAAACTCTGTTAAATTTAATTTGTTTAAAGCTTTTCTTATTCTTTTTTCTTTTTTTTTTGAGACGGAGTCTCACTCTGTCGCCCAGGCTGGTGTGTTGTAGCTCGATCTCAGCTCACTGCAACTTCTGCCTCTCGGGTTCAAGCAATTCTCCTGCCTCAGCCTCCTGTGCCTACAGTGCCTGTAGCTGGGATTACAGGCACGTGGCTCCACGCCTGGCTAACTTTTGTATTTCTAGTAGAGACGGGGTTTCACCATGTTGGCCAGGATGGTCTTGATCTCCTGACTTTGTGATCTGCCCACCTCAGCCTCCCAAAATGCTGGGATTACAGGCGTGAGCCACCACGCCTGGCCTAAAGTTTTTCTTTTTAACAGTACATGTATATATACACGTGCAAATGTGTGTATGTATCTTTCTATCTCTATCTGATATTTTATGCCTTCAGTATTTTATCAAGACCAATAGCTCGGCCGGGCGCGGTGGCTCACGCCTGTAATCCCAGCACTTTGGGAGGCCGAGGCGGGCGGATCACAAGGTCAGGAGATCGAGACCATGGTGAAACCCCGTCTCTACTAAAAAATAGAAAAAAATTAGCCGGGCGCAGTGGCGGGCGCCTGTAGTCCCAGCTACTCGGGAGGCTGAGGTAGGAGAATGGCGTGAACCCGGGAGGCGGAGCTTGCAGTGAGCCGAGATTGCGCCACTGCTCCAGCCTGGGCGACAGAGCGATACTCCGTCTCAAAAAAAAAAAAAAAATTAAAAAAAAAAAGACCAATAGCTCAAGGCCATCTGAGATTGAAATCCTTCATGCACTGTCAGCTTTGTCAGGGCTGACTTTCATCTACCACGTTCGCTCCATCTCATCTCCCCCTTTCCTTTGCTCATTACGTTCCAGCTATGCCAAGCTTCCGCTTCTTCCTTTAACAACCACACTCATTCCCAAGGCCTTTGCACCTGCTGTTCTCTCTACCTGGTGAACCCTCCCTCTTCAGCCCCTCCACCAGCTATTCCCTTGGCTGGCTTCAATCTAACAGCCAGTTTTGGCTTAAATGTCATCTCCCCAGAGAGAAGTTTCCGTCTACCCTTGCTAGTATTTCCCTTAGTCATAGTCATCCTTTTCAACCTTACTTTTCTCTTTGGAGGTTTCTGAGTCATTTCTTTACTGGTTTACTCTCTGAGCTTTATGTGGGAAGGGTGCTTGTCTACCTGGTGCATGGCTGAATCTTGGAGTCACTACTAAGTATTTGCTAACTGCCTTTTCCCCTCTCCAAAACATGCATGAATGTTCCGGTGCTGGGATACTCACTACCTGCCTCAAGTTGTGCAGAGAGGCTGTTCTTACCCCCAAAACTTTGGGCTCTCCTGTCAGGAATGTCTCCTCTGGCTGTAAGTCAGGTGGCTGTGTGGCCCTTGGTGTCTGTGCCCCCGGCAGTGGCTCCTCAAACTGCATAATCCCTGGAGGTTGGCACATGGACGTGGGCAGAATGGCTGGAGGTGGGTGGAGGCCACTGGCATTGCTTGGCGGGGTGACGACAAACACCCCATTGCCGGTGGGAGCTGTAGACATCGCGCTCGGAGAGCCTGGAAAACAGAGGCTGGGGAGATAACAATGGTAATGATGATTGTTCCACATGTGCATAAAGCTTTTCAGCTGATAAGCAGCATGCCCACCTGCCCTTGCTTACTGCAGCCCTGTGAGGATGGCCCCAAATGTTCCTATCAAAGCTGGGGAAGCTGAGACTCAGAGAAGCGAAGGATGTCTGAGGTCAACGGCCTCTAGGTGGGGTAAGACTGCGACTTGAATTCCAGTCTCTGGTTTCACAGGCCCTGATCTTAATCTCCGAGCTATATTATGTGGAAAGCTCCTCTTGGAGGAGTGTATATTTAAATGCCCTTCTTTTCCCAGAAAGGGCAAGTGACTTACCTAAGGACACACAGCTAGTGCTAGGTAGAGCTTAGCTAGAGCACTGGTTTCTTCACCCCAAACCAGGACTCACCGCCACTTCCTGCCTCTCAGCTCATGGCTATTGAGCTAGTATCAACAATTCCCCTGGGTGTGGGAACTTCCCACCTGCTGTGGGAAGGTTTCTATTTGGCCACCCAAGCAATTACCATTGATGTAGTCAAGATATGTGTAGATATGGAACTTTATGCAGAGCTTATAGCTTGCAGTGAACGCTAAGAATGAGTTCTTAGACAGTTCCAGCTGAGCGGGGCTTGGTGGGGACGCAGCTCGTCTGAGAGAGTCCACCCCAGCATCTGTCCGCCAAGCATTTACTGAAAGAGCTTGTCAAACCACAAACATCCACTCGATGGCTTTTTGAGGGTCATGAGACACCTATGGCCTTGTAAAAGCACTCAAACTGCCTTCTTAGGACGCTGTTTTCAGCGTTCCTTATTACACACCTCAATCCTTGTCCTGTTTTTAGGGTCAAGGAGTTACATTCTCATGCACAAATAACATACATACAGTGCCTCAGTATTTTTCTGTGCCCCGACCTCAAATGCCATGTACATAAGCTTGGATATGTTGCTGTGCACCCTCAACATCTCCCCCATCTTTCATTTTTAGAGTGTATTGGTTATTTAACGAGAGGTAAGCTTTTACTGCTTTTTCTTGGTTACAGATGTGCTGAGTGGCAGCACAGAGCCATTTTACATACCTAGCAAACACATATAAGAAAGAATAAGTATAGCGGCCATTACCCAAATGCGTATGTTTAACCCACATAACTAAGTGTTTGGGTTTAACTATTGAAAGCCTTTTGGTAATTGTTGAAGGGTATTTGTTTATAATTGCTGTGGCCATTTTTTAAGTTGCTTTTTAAATTTACACTTAAGAGTGGAGATTTGAGAAGATGAATGGTTGTGATAAGCCTCTTGTGGGTGTTTTCACTCTCTCCCAAGCATATTGGGAGCTATTATACGGCAGAGGTATGACATAGATAGAATTATATTGCCAGTTACAATATAAATTTTGATGGGTAATGAATGCCTGCTGCTGATCTCCCAGCCATTCAACAGCGGCTCTAAGAGCCTCCGGGCGAGACAGAGTAGTTTTATGAATATTTACCTGTTTCTGAAATGTGGTTCACCACTGAAGCTGTGTGAATAGATTTTGTTAGAAAAACAGCTGCAGTAGCAGCAGTTGCTAATATAATAATAGCTGAGACTAAAAAAAGCAATTAAAGTGGCCAAAAGTGTTTTTTTTCTGAGTATGAGACAGTGCTTTTCTAAATAGCTACAGGGTCAAATCTCCTTCCCAGCTCCAGGTTAAATTTATGGGCAGCCAAAATTCTGCATGCCATTTTAAGATCATGACATAGGTTATATTTAACGATGTAACATTTCGATGAGACAGGCAGGCAGCATACCAACTACTGGAAGAGACTTTAGTACTATAAAAGGATGGATTCTGCTCTATGTTAGGAATACCTCGCCCAAACAAAAGTATATAAGGGTGCGTAGTACAAGTCGTAACTGTGTCAGTAACATTATTATGGAAAGAGAGGGGACAGTTGCCACCACTAGTAATATACTCACCATGTGAGAGAACCCGTTCAAAAAAAGGAAGTCCTAATCTCCAAATGTGGGTATGAGCAGGGCTTAAAGCTTGTTTCTTTTAGTTGTAATATTGGTCCTGAAAGCCCATCCTCTGACCAGGTGATAGACTTATTGTAGGGACTCCCAGATCCAATAGTCTGATTTGCAGACATAAGATAACCATGGGGACTCCAATCAAGTAAGGTGCCATTATCAAACAGAGGCCCTTGACACAGCGCAGGCTGTCTGGATGGAGGCCACTGAATGGCCTCAAACTTATATCGCCAGTCCCTACTCAGATGGCATATAGGAAGATCAGGCACTTGTGTAGCTTCATTAGAGACCTCAGTAAAATCAGTGGTAATAGCAGAAATAAAGGTCAAGCTTGCAAGCTTAGCATCCCTTTTAGGCTGATAGTAAAGATACTCCTGAAGAATAAGAGTAACACACTTATCATGTGCTATTGTGGAAAAACAAAGAGGGGGATTACTAGACAATAAAATCAAGGAGTCATTAAGTTTAATCCATCCCAAATTTTCCATTAAAGGGTAAGACAGGGGCATCCATTGACCTCTTGTCCAAGAAGTATCATTAGATAACAAAGGTGGGTCAGCATCCCACCATGAAATAACATTAAAAATAGGGAGACTTAGAACATGACTCCAGTAAACATGCTCTTGGGCTGATCCCACTTGGCAAAGGACAAGAATTACCAGCCACCCCAACATCTATGTCTGTCTTACTTTCTCAGAAGTTTTCCCAATTACCGCCAGATACATAAGAAACTGATTCCCTGCAGTTACAGAGGCTTTTATGGCTGCAAGCCTGATAGTTGCCTGTTGATCCATTTTCTTTAGCTGTCCCCAGGTAATGTCAGGTGCCTTCTGAGTCATCACCATCATTGTCGGTTGATTCTCCAACGACAGGTCCTGTTCTTGAGAAGAGGGCCCCGTAGTCCCCCTTTGTTGTTTATTAAGATATACTTTAAGAGTTTGATGACCGGTTGAGTTATAGAGAATCCCAGTCTTGTGCTGTATGTTGATGTTATTGCCAAAGTTGTAATGCATAGCCAAAGTGAGCACTAAGATAGCGGGAGCCATTATCAGTTTTAGAGTTTGTGGAAGGCCTAGAGTCATAATAGATTCAAACAAATGAGCAATTGCATCTTTAGTTTTTTCCTCCGGCCTAGGGGGTAGCATGTGTTAGGCCTATATAAGTGTCCACAGTAACGTGGAAAGGTTTAAAACGTCCAAAGGGTGTATATTGAGTAACATCAGTTTGCCAGGTAGCCTTAGGCACCAGACCTCGTGGGTTGCCACCAAGCCCTAAGGAAAAAGGGGGCAGAGAATGCCATTGGCAATCAGGATAAGTTTTAATAATCATGTGAGCTTGAGCAAGTGTTAAGTGAAACTGTTGTTTAAGACTGCATGCATTCTGATGAAAAAAACCAGCATGATCAGCTTGAACTCGCAAAAAAGCAGGAGAGTTTGCAAACCACATCTGTGTTTGTACCAGAGCATTAGCTCAAGCATTAGCTGATAAGGGACCAGGTAGGCCAGGATGAGAGTGAATATATGTGATGTAAAGAAGGTGATGATCGAAGGGGGCCTGCTCCTCCACTCCTGTGGGTATTTCTTGTCAGGTGGAGACAAGAGACTGAGAAAAGAAATAAGACACAAAGTATAGAGAAAGAACAGTGGGCCCAGGGGACTGGCACACTCAGCATGCAAGGACCTGCACCGGCACCAGTCTCTGAGTTCCCTCGGTATTTATTGATTACTATTTTCACTAACTCGGCACGGGGAGTGTGGCGGGAGAACAGGGTGAACAGGGTGATGGTGGGGAGAAGGTCAGCAGGAAAACATGTGAGTAAAGGAATCTGCGTCATAAATAAGTTCAAGGGAAGGTACTGTGCCCGGATGTGCATGTAGGCTAGATTTACGTTTCTCCTTACCCAAACATCTCAGTTAGTAAAGAGCAACAGAGCAGTATTGCTACCAGCATATCTCGTCTCCAGCCATAGGGCGGTTTTCTCCTATCTCAGAATAGAACGAATAGTCAGCTTTACACCGAGATGTTCCACTCCCAGGGACATGCGGGAAACAGAGGCCTTCCTCTTTTACTAACCCTCCTCAGCACAGACCCTTTAGGGGTGTCGAGCTAGGGGACGGTAAGGTCTTTCCATTCCCACGAGGCCATATCTCAGGCTGTCTCAGTGGGGGGAAGCCTTGGGCAATACCCAGGCTTTCTTGGGCAGAGGTCCCTGAGGCTTTCCGCAGCGCATCGTGTCCCTGGTTAACAGAGAATGGAGAATGGCGATGACTTTTACCCAGCATACTGTCTGCAAACACATTGTTAACAAGGCACATCCTGCACAGCCCTGAATCCCTTAAACCTTGATTCAATACAGCACACGTTTCTGAGAGCACAGGGTTGGGGCTAAAGTTACAGGTTAACGGCATCTCAAAGCATAACAGTTTTTCTTTGTACAGCTCAAAATGGAGTTTCTTTTGTCTTCCTTTTCTACGTAGACACAGTCACAGTCTGATCTCTCTTTCTTTTTCCCACAATGATGGGCACAGAGGAGCTCTTACGCTGCAAGAAATGAAGGTAGTAGGGGTTCATTAGTAATGCCCTTCACATGTACAAGATCTACATGAGTGATACTACACACCATATAAGCGGAATCACTAACTATATTTATGTCTTGGGGAGGAAAAGTTTGTAAGGCCAATATCAGGGCACCTAACTCTGCCTGTTGCGTAGTTTTAAAATGTTCCTGGATTTTGTGCTGCCATTTCTGTGTGGCATCTTGCCACACTATAGCTGCTCTTCCAGTTTTTCCTAAACCATCTGTAAAGACAGTAGTGGCATGAAGCAAGGGCTCAGAAACAACAATAGATACAAATTTAACAGGCACAGTTTGTAAGAAGTTCAGGAGCTTAGAGGCTGGTAAATGGAAGCTGATATTACCAATAAAGCCAGCTACGGCGACTTGCCAGTCAAGATCACAAGCTAGAAGAGTATGAAATTGTTTTTTGCTTA